GAAGGCAAAGGAGGGCTTGGAGATTGAGTTAAAGGGCTTAAATGTGGGAACAATTTTATTTCTCCCAGCCACTTTCTTATTAACAGAGCCTCAACTGTGAGTATTCTCCCTCCCTCAGGAGGATATGTGTTCAGTAAAGATTACCTTCTTCCCAGCCCAGGAATCTCTTGATTGGTTTGAAAAGGGGTAAATGACCCTATTTTGCCTAATGAAATGAGAGAAAAACTTAGCTAAGATCTTCTACAAAAATGTTCCTTTGTTAAACACAAAAGAAGTAATAGTTATTCTAGTTTGTACTTGTTTCTCCTGAAGTTACTGGGTGAATATGTATGCTTGAAGCTGTAATGCCCATCTTGGGACCATATGGAGAAATTCTGATATAAAATAAAGGATGTCATACCTTCCTACTCTTGTTCTGTACTTCTCTATTTCATTTCAGGGGGTTCTTGAAAATATGGGAGGCAAAAAAGTTCATGGCTAATCCTTCCTCCTAATTTAAAGAAATAAGTATTTTTTTTCTAATTACAAGAATCGTATCTGCTCTTTGTAGAAACTAAAATAATGAATTGTATAAATTAGAAATTAAATGTCTCTGTTTTACTGTTTTATTCCTATACATATAAAATAACTTCCATCTGAACACATTTGTACTTTTTAAAAATAAATATAGTATGAAATTAAACATCTGATACCTGCAGTTTTCATTTTATGATATAGAGAAGGACATCTTCTCAGAGAAGATGATGTTTGAAGAGTCCTTATGGATGATTAATAGTTTGGAGATAAGAAATGAGAATGATTAGAAGTGGTAACAGAGGGAGAGTCAGGCTGTCTCTTATACACATCTGAAAGGAGAATGAATTGAAGTGGTAATAGAGGGAGAGTCAGGTAGATGGGACAATATTTTTGACTGAGATAAGACATTGTGCAAAGGCTAAAAAGTATTAAAGATCATAATCACTTTATGAGAAAAGTAAGTATACTCAGTGACAGAGAGCAGAAAAGTTTATAAGAGAGTGAAGGGAAATTAATCTGAAAAGACAGAAGAGAGGACCTAACCCAAAAGTGCTTTAGATGCCATGTTAGAGTGTGAACTTTCTCATGCGGGGTACAGGAGTTGTAGAAGAATTTTAAGCACATGGGTAATAAGAGCAGATGAATTATTTAGAAATATCACTATTTCTCAAGATCAGATAACTAAAATTTTGGATTCCAGTTCCAGCATTTATTAGCTGTAAAATTATGAGTAGATTATTCAGCCACTCTGTCAGTATCCTCATTTGCAAAATGGGGATGATGGAAGAAGGATTGTGATGATTAAATGAGAAAACACATATGAAAGTGACTGTAGAGTGCTGGTCATACAACAGGTTTTCAGTGCATGTTAATTTCCCTCTACTACCATATATTTTGTGGCTGTCGTCTGGTTAACTAAAAAAAAAAAAAAATTAAAAAAGGGTTTATTTTTGTTCTACTGATGGTGGGGGACTTTATTTTTTTATTTTTTATTTTTTTTGTGACATAGTCTCACTTCGTCACCCAGGCTGGAGTGCATTGGCATGATCTCGGCTCACTGCAACCTCCACCTCCTAGATTCAAGCAATTCTCCTGCCTTGACCTCCCAAGTAGCTGGGATTTCAATCACCTGCCACGAAGCCTGGCTAATTTTTTGTGTTTTTGGTAGAGACAGGGTTTCACTATGTTGGCCAGGCTGGTCTTGAACTCCTGACTTCAGTTGATCCACCCTTCTCGGCCTCCCAAAGTGCCGGGATTACAGGTGTCAGCCACCACGCCCGGCCAGGGACTTTAAAAATATTATTCGGCCGGGCGCTGTGGCTCACGTTTGTAATCCCAGCACTTTGGGAGGCCGAGGCGGGCGAATCACGAGGTCAGGAGATCGAGACCACGGTGAAACCCCGTCTCTACTAAAAACATAAAAATTAGCCGGGTGCGGTGGCGGGCGCCTGTAGTCCCAGCTACTCAGGAGGCTGAGGCAGGAGAATGGCGTGAACCTGGGAGGCGGAGTTTGCAGTGAGCCCAGGTCAAGATCGCGCCACTGCACTCCAACCTGGGCTACAGAGCAAGACTCTGTCTCAAAAAAAAAAAAAAAAAAAGTATTATTCACCCCAAGTAAAATAAATCTCACTAAGAACTAAGTTTGTGAGGTCACTTAAATGTTACAACTCATTTGCATCCAGAACCAAGAGAACACTGCCCAAATTAAATTCAGCAAGCCTGTACTTTTTGGGTAAAAGGCAAGAACTAAGCACTAAGGGGATATTAAAAATAAAAATGCATGCACTTTGATATCAATGAGATCAATAAGCAGCTGCATCGATGATACAATCAACAGTAGAAACATATAAGTTAAACATGGAAGTGCCTAAGTGGTCCGTGTGGATTTTAAGCTCTCATTTTTTTCCCAAAATGTCTCTGTTCTCTGACAAGCAGCAAAAAGGAACATTGTTGGTATAGGAGTATGAGGTTCTTCCAGGGTGTCTTCTCATAGCTGAGCCTCTGCTGATTGTGTCTACCATGAAATGTGTTCTTTTCTGAGGAAGCGTAATATGAAAACTGCAGTTGTATACAAATAACGTAAAAATTGGCCTGTCTAGAAACTGGTAACATTAGCTAAGTTTCTTTTATCTGTCATACAGGAACAATAACTTAATGCCCAAAGCATAAGTAGTGCATTTAGAGTAGTTTTTAGGCACATCATCTGAGCATAGTCTTTAACTCCCTCCTATATTTTATTTTCATTTTAGTTCTTTTACAAAGCTTCCTCATCTGGCAGGAACGGAACAAAATTTCTTGCTTGCCAAGGAAATCCAAACCCAGTGGAAGAAATTTGGACTAGATTCAGCCAAGTTGGTTCATTACGATGTCCTCTTATCTTACCCCAATGAGACAAATGCCAACTATATATCGATTGTGGATGAACATGAAACTGAGGTATGTGAAATTGTTGGTACTTTTTATGTTTTACAATCTGACTATTTTATGTGGATTGTAATGTAGGGTCAAGTAAAAGTAGACATTTGTTAATAGTGAATTATTCAGTATCCATTATGTGTTTGACATGGTGTTAAGTCCTGAGGCCAGTTTCTATTATTAGGAAGACAATAATAATGATAAGGCTCTTTCTCATTGTTGTCAGTGTAATTTATCTATTTAATTATAGAACCTAGTTCCAGGATGCTTAATCTGAAGTATATACTTGGAGGCAAAATGAATTATATCTTAATAATAATCTGGAATTTTTCTCTCCAACTTGACATGTTCTAATTCTTGCTAGATTTTCAAAACATCATACTTCGAACCAACACCAGATGGCTACGAGAATGTTACAAATATTGTTCCACCATGTAATGCTTTCTCAGCCCAAGGCATGCCAGAGGTAAAATAAAATACATTTGTAATCCAAGCCTTTAAATGATTCTTTTGCTATATAAAATCTGTATAGAGGACTAAAACCAAGGAAATTAGGCGAATCATAC